AGTTTGCGTTCAAATTTGCAAGAGATGCTATAGTTTCTCAGATTGCATGGCCTGTGGAAACTAGTAAAGGCAAGAGTTTGAAGGAGACTTGTGTAATCTGTTTTGAAGATATTGATGTTGAAAAGATGTTTCTCGTTGATGGCTGCTATCATAGGTATTGCTTTTCTTGTATGAAACAGCATGTAAAAGTGAAATTACTAAATGGGATAGTGGTCACTTGTCCTCATGAAGAGTGTAAAACAGAGATAAATATTGCTACTTGTGGAAATTTCTTGGATCCAAAATTATTTGAGATCATGAGCCAGCGCAGGAAGGAAGCTTCTATTACTGCAACTGAGAAAGTTTATTGCCCATATCCTAGGTGTTCAGCATTAATGTCAAAAACTGAGGTGCTAAGGCATACTAATCTTTTTCGTGTTGGTGCTGAGCATTCTGGAGAAAGAAAATGCATGAAATGTGGTTTCTTTTTCTGCATTAACTGCAAGGCTCCTTGGCATGACAACATGACCTGCAATGATTACAGTAGATCAAATTCTCATAAAAGAACTGGAGATGCAATGTTGAAGTCTCTTGCAAAACAGAAACTATGGCGCCAGTGTGTGAAGTGCAGTCATATGGTTGAACTATCCGAAGGTTGCTACCACATCACTTGCAGGTATATTGACCGATACTGTGATTAGTCTTTATTGTTTACAAAAGAAAACAAATGGTTATTTAATGTTATTAGAAAGCTACTAATGATAAAACGAGTCAATATTTCATCACTGAGATGGGAAAAGTGAGAATTCATGTAGAAGTTTTGCTTACTGTTTCTCATGGCAGCAAACAAGTTTGTTGTAGCTATTCCTTTCTTCTAGGTGCTTGGACTGGTTGTTTTTATTGCTAGTGTTAGATTCTTCTGTTATGCATTTTCAATTGTAGTGTATGTCAGACTGTTCTTTTTCCCCAATAACATGGAAATTGAATCCCTTTATTTAAAAAAAAAACATGGAAATTGAATCCCGAAGTGAAAGCTCGATA